GATATCCTCAGAATGTACTCAAAATATACGAATATCTTCATCTACTTTGTATGATATACTCAGTACATTCTTAGAATATTATATATATACATGGGAGATTTAGTATGTATTCAGAATATACTGAGAATATCACATGCTATCTGGGTCTGTTTATACAAAATTGCCGAATGCGTATAAACAGAAGTATTGAAATCCTATAGTTAAACTCTACCGGTTCCGGCATAAGTTAACAATTATTGCTCGCCATAGAGCTTATACTCATGGAGAGGCCCTGCCTATATGCTAACCATAGAGAGAGCTCCGCCGGGAGGATCGACAAAGAGAGATATATTTCGATCATATATGTAATACTCCTATATTGCTAGTACCACTGAACTCTATATACACTGGAATGCGCATCTTCATCTAACAAGCATAGCGAGACGTGGCACAAATTGATCAGCGCCATTTTTGTTTGGCCTGGTATTTGAGCAAATCAGAAGTGCGTTCCACCCGCTACAAGTTAGCGACATGAGATGTTGTGTGTCCGGGTGTGGGCAGAGAAGTGAAAAGGGGAGTTCATTTCATAGATAAGGATTTTGGTGTGAAATATATCAGTTGAATGTATTAACAATGTAGGATGAAAATCGTTAGGTTAGGATGTTGTAGATAGAAATAATATTGCATTTTTTTATAATTGAAATGAAATTGTATTGAATTGTATTGAATTGTATTTATAATTGAAATTGTATTGAATGAATTTTTGCAATAATTGAATTTTTTATAATTTGCATTTTTTTAATAATTAAAATAAAATTATTTTGTTTGAAGATACAATGATATTTTGTAACAAGCGCGCGAGTAGTTTGTGCCTTTTTTACTATTTTAAAAACGGTAGGTTTTTACATTGTATTAATGGGCAAATTTATACTTATATCGTATTAACGAGCAAAAGTCCTTTTATACATATTTGTTTATTAATTTTGTTTATTAATTTTACGTAAATTTCTTACTACAAACTCCTAAAGAAACTTTTTCTATTTTGTTACTTTTTCATCTCCGTCATCCACATTATAGCGGGACCGCGCGTGAAACCCGCTTCTGATTTGCTCAAATACCAGGCCAAACAAAAATGGCGCTGATCAATTTGTGCCATGAATTTTCTTCGATGCGCATTCCAGTGTATATAGAGTTCAGTGGCTAGTACGGTGCCGACCTGAAGCTCACCGTTACGGTGTAGACAATATAGTAGCCTCTCTCTCCAGCTGCTTTGTGCGCATGCGGTGAACATTCAAGCACGCTTGCGCATTTCTCTTTCTCGCGTTCTTTCTCTCACTTTCCAATGCTTTGTCTCGCTCGCAGTCACTTGGTAGATGCGCCTGCGCATAATGACGCTCGACCATCTATGCCCATATTTGGACTTCGTGCGTCTCCCTTTCTCGGGCCTCGTGCCTCTCATTGCGAAGATACGCGACTAGCAATATAGGAGTATTACATATATGATTTCGATATATTTTGTCTCAACTGTGGCTCCCCCACTCCGTGTTCTCTGTTATTCTCTTCTATAAGAAGTAGCTACAGTTGAAACAGAAAAATATATCTCTCTTTGTCGATCCTCCTTGCGGTCTTCTTCTTCTTCTTTGCTGTAATGGCTCTTGCCTCGGTGAGGAAGGAGCATACGCCAGTCTTCGATTTATTATTACTACTAGTTATGTATTTGTTTAGACTAGAGACTACGATGATAATAAAAAAAGTGGTGTAAAAACACCTAAAATTGTCCAAAAATATTCAAAGTAGAATTACGCACATCCAACCAACATGGCTGATGCAATGCGACTTTTCCTCCTTTTTGCGGTCGCAGGGCCTCTCCATGAGTATAAGCTCTAGGAGGTGCACCCTATACATGTTTCTCCTCGATAGGGATTTTTATTTGATACCAGATGTACAGTTCACGCACTGTATTTTACCCTAAGCCACATAAGCTAGCACCAGAGAGAAACTTGAGAGCGGCCATGCCATTGTAGTTTCTTACAACGGTTTCAACCGCTGGTTTTAGCCGTATTTCCACAAAAGTGGAACTCAAAGGCCGTTCTACATTAAACGCAAGTATCAGATCTCGTGGAATTGACCAATTGCAGAGTCAAATCAGCCAATCGACCAACGTGATTGATCA